TGAAACTGATGTAAACACCTGGCACATTTTTAGAATACATTTTTAGATGAATACATATATTTAAGTGTGGCTCTGGAGAGTCAAAAAGGCATAAACACTTGTCTCTTCTAGTATATATAGAGTCAGAGTAACCTTTTAAATGGACCCATCTGGTTTTTCTGACTGAAAGTTAAATGAAGTCTGAAGTGACCCAGCCAGAGTTTCCACTAGAATCAATAACAGAATGTGTGGAGACAGATCCGGATTGGGGTTATGGTAATGAGCCCTTATAACCTCAAACACTTGGAGCTCATTGCAAAAGATGATTGATCAAAATATCAATGGATCACAACTTACTCAAACATTCCATTGATCATTAATGATGCATTTAACTTTCAAAGTGCAATTCTATTGTAATTTTTTTTTAAGAAAATCTTTCAATATCTCATTTATTGTGCCTTAGAATCCTTTAGGAGTTATCTGCCTCATTTCTAAACTTCTTCACTGAATTAAATATGATTTAAATCTGCGTGAATATTGGGTTTAACTCTGTTATTAAAGCTGTAATATTATATTCCATCTTCCAATCATTTCGCTTAATTAACATAGTCTCAGTCTAAAAAGGATGTTTCAAAATATGGAATTACTTTTTTCCTTACAATAGTTTCTAGTATTTCTTATGATTTCATGACAGAAATGTAATAATTCTGCACAGTCCTTCAGGCTGTCAGTAGATCACTCCAAAATTATCAGCACAAACACTACTCTAAATTTTAACCAACTCACTGTCAAAAAAGGACCAATACGCTACTATATTTACACCAGCACACCATAATAACTGCAGCTAATTATATTTTGAAACATTAACTCAGCATCTGCAGTACCTCAGGTAGACGTCGTGGTTATAACTGTAAGATGACTATTCTTAATTTATGTTTTTTCTCCACTGTATCTTTAGATACATTCCTACTTAAAAGTAATAACTACTGCTATTTTCCTCTCAAAGACATGTTGACTACATAGTGTTTAGTCACAAGATGCATTTAGAATCAATTGCAACAAGCTTATCTCACTGCAAGCTTTAACCTGCAAATCTGCCAACAGTAACTGTGTGAAAATGGCATTTGTTGTCAGAAGCAGGTTTGGTTTCGATTTTGTGTTTCTCTATCACCAGTCTAGTCCATTCTGAACCTGAGCAGTGAAGTTCACAGAGATGGAGATCTGCTTAAGTTAATAAGGGCACTAATCAGTCCTGTCTCTAACAAACTGTTTCCACAAAGAGCAAAGAGATGTTAGTTAATAAAATGGTTCTGATCCCATCATCTATGCTGCTATTGCTTCATGTTCTTAAACTGTCTATTGACTGCAAATATAATTGCACTTAGTAAACATTTAATTCCAAAAATACTTGGTCCACCACAAACAGAGAAAGATTCCAGTTGCTGATGATCAACTTTATGACCCTGCATATACGGGACTAGCACCAGAAAAAACAAAACCAGTAATTACATCCATCATCTCTGGATGAGAGCTGAACAACCACTAGTGTTTTTGTGGGATTTTTGTACCACTAAGTACACTATGTCCTAAAATGACTGCACCCAGAGAAAAAAAAAATCACAATATCAAAATTATTCAAAACTCAGACGTCACTTTAAAGTACCGTATTTTTCGAACTATAAGCCACTACATTTTTCCCACGCTTTGAACCATGCGACTTGTAGCCCGGTGCAGCTTTTCTGTGGATTTTTCTTCAACCACCAGGGGGCTCTTTAGCAGAAAGTGAAATTTTTTTCTGAAGTGAATTATTGAAAGTCAAAATTGGAAATCAAAGGAAAAAGAACAAGCACATGTTGGCAGCAGACACGACGGAGTAATGTATCAAACTCATAGCCTCTCATCATGGAAGCTACACAAAAAAGTTCATATGATGCAGCTTTTAAGTCGAAGGTTATGATGTGGTAGTTCAGGATGGAAATGGAGGTTTAAGAGGTCTGAGCTCTGCGCTCTGACACCAAACACAGGGCCGTAACGCACGACCTGGGGGGAAAGTTGGGGGCTTTACAATTCTTCTTTGAGTTTTCCAGATAACAGTGGGACACACAAAAACACACACAAATTACTAACGTTTTTTTGGACTGTTGTAACCATTAAACAATCTCCCCCTCAGTTCATCCTTATAAGTGGAGACACATTGTTGATATTACCATTATAAAATAACTTGCAATTAAGTATTGGCAAAGATCAATGTCATTTTCACAGTTTTGTTGTCGTTAGCAGCTGCTGAACGGAACTAAAAACGATACTTTTAATGCAACTTAGTTACTTTCCAAATCAACAAGTCAGTAATCTAAGTTACTTTTTCAAGATAACTATGCCATCACTGGTGCCGACAGTGTAAACTATCAGAACGTCATAATATTAGCTTGGTGTAATGTGAATACATTGATTTTTCATTTGTATTTTTCTTTTAAAAAGTTTATGATCTGAATCTTTATCATTATGCTTGGAACATAACATTTTTTTTATAAGACAAAAAATAAATGATGGGTTCAATTAGACCATCACAACAAGAACCTCAAGGTTCTCCATTTCTGAGTGTCGCTGCAAATCAGTGGAGAAATGACCGCAGTTGCTGCGCTCCAGACCCTAATGTGGAGAATCTCCCCAGTGGACTAGAACTGAACCGAATCACACATTAACTTGTCATAGAGAGCAACTTGCCACTGGAAAGTGTCTGCCCTTGCGGAGCTCAGGTAACTGTTGTGCTGTTCATGGCTGTACTTTCATAATCAGACCAAGTTTAATTTGTGGCAGCAACAGGTGTTTGTTGAACGACTCCTAAACAAAGGCTGTGGTTTTCATCACCTACCGACAAATGAGGAAACAAAAAGAATTTGGTGAAAAATTCTAAACTTGAGAACCCAAAATGCTTTATGTGTGCTCATTTCATTGTGCGGATAGAAAGACAATGGAAGAAAACCCTCATCTGCATCCGAAGCAACTGAGTCAGTGAAGTAGCTAGCTAAGCTATTTCGGGTTATTTGCGGCCATTTCTTCGAGTCGCCATACCTCCCCGCGTTAGCTGTAAGTGGTAGAACAATATTCCCACATGTAACCTGTGATAGCTGGAGTTCCCACATATTTTATAGCCTAAAACCTCTCTGGAAAGCCAGTTAGCGAGTTGCTAACATGTAAGCAAATGGCAGTTCTGTTTTGTTTTTTTTTGCTTGTTTGTTTTTGGCGGTTCTGGTTGGCAGTGGAAGTCTTGCCCACAAATTACACAAAGCCTCATCTGGGCTAGGAATCAGGTGGATAGTCTGGAAAATACAGTAATAATTTTAAATTTGCCAAAATTTGTCATCTTCCTGATATTTTGGGATGGGTCGGACAGAATCTGAGCTGGAGTCCGATAGAGGTGGAAAGCAGGAGGAAAAGATTAGGGTGATGGCTAGTAAGCTTCCCATTGTCAAATGCTTGGAAATCATCGCCAAAGCTAAATTATCAATACTCTCATCACTGGAACCACTTAAAAAGGATCTAAAGATTGAGGGAACTGTTTCATTTCATTGTCTTAAAAGTTTCTTGGATGACAAGGAAACAGAATCCTCTCGCTGTAGATGTTTTATGTGATTTGTGTTATTAGAGTCAAATGTGATAATCATTTTTAATTTAACCACTTAAGCCTTTTCCATACATAATACTAGAAATACAGTTAAAAGGTGCAATAAATCATTCTATTGCTGTTTTATATGAACAGTTCCTCGTGTAAAATGCAACAACAGCATTCATTTAAATGGATGCTTGGTCACTTGCATCCAATTTTTTTTTAGCTGCATCTGCAGCTAAAAAAAATTATTCCAACATCAACAACATCAAAAGCTCAGGCCTTTCTGCTGGACTGAACATCAAGAAAGTTATAAAATAAAGGGCTGATCTGGGGACTAATTTTGGACTAACTGATTTATAATTGGACAGGAAAAGGCGCTTAGAGATTTTCTCTATTTTTTTTTAAGCAGATGAAGCTAAAACTATTGCACTTGAGAAGTTCTGGGTACGACATACATACACACACACACACACACACTTATATATATATATATATATATATATATAATGCAAAATGTATATAGTTTTTGTAGTATTGGCTCTTCACTTGTTCTTTCTGCAAATGTTTTTTTTTCTTCTTTGAGTCTTTGTACTCCAGTTAACCATTGATTATTCAATTAGTTCAAGATTCATCACATTAATGTTTCAGCTCCAATTCTATAATGTTTTTGACCACTCAAATTTTGACATTAACTTTATGTATTTAGTTGCAAACTAAATACAAGCAACAGATCTGTTTAGTAAACCACAAGTTACCTAGTTAAAAACCAGTTGAAATGATTAAGGTACAGTATCGTGGGGGTTTTGGTTTACTGTAAGAACATGCTTTATAGAAATCTTTCATTTTATTTACATACTGAGCCATGTGAGGCTTGTGGACAAATTGGGGCAAAGTAAAGGCAGGAGGTTCGCTGTCATCCAAGTGGCACTAATGGGTCAAAGGTTGCAGATGGAGTTATCAGCACCTCTGTGTCTTGATGTTTAAACAGCAGCAGCATGATCGACAGCTGCCTCAGCTGTTTCAGGACTGAGCGGGGGTCAACGGGCGCAAAGATTAACTCAACTAATATACACGCTGAGTCAGCCGGACATCTTGTTGTCCTGTAAACACATAACAATCGGCCAGATATGGCCCACAAACACAAACAACCCTCTGCCGGTTCTATGGAGGCGCGGAGGAGCCTGTGGAGCAACAAAACAAACCCATCTGACTGGTTTGCTAGCTAACACCGGGCTGTTGTCTCATTAACTGCTCAAGCACTTCCTCTCTTCCTGTTGTTTCATTGTTGGGGAGAAGCCCTAATGGTAGCCATGTTCCACTCCCCGTTCTAAAATTAAATAAATGGCATAAAGCTGAACAGGCATCCACATCTCCACTGATCTAACAAGGCTAACCTTTTAAGCTCACTCACCTCATACTGGATGTACTGTTTCCTCCACTCGGGCGTGATGTGAGCTGAGAGATGTTCTGTGAATTTCATTTTGACAGCCTGCTGTTTCTCCCCTTCTGCTGCTTTTACTGACAGAAATCAGCTGGTTGTGCTCGACAGCAGAGCTCGCTCTGTGCTACTGAACTGACGGCGTCCCACACACAGACTACAGCACGAGCGGTGGCGGCTGCTGATTCGGTCAGATGCCCTTTTTGTCTTTTCTCTATCCCCGCTCACAACACATTGTCTTTTTTTTTTATCTCTAAACGAAGTTTCTGTTGAGTCACACTTCAAGGTGAACACTCTGCGTTAATTTTGCTGAAAGTGCAGCATCAATGTCGTTAACACAGCACTAAAGCTCTGATAAACAAGCTGACAGCGTTAGTGTTAGCTAAGTCCCGCTGCCCGCCTTCTCTACCTTCTTTCTTTCTGACGCTCGTCCATCCTCTGCCTCTCTCCACCTCCTCTGCCCTGCTGCCTTCAGGTGCAGTGGGAAAATTAGCTAACAACAACCTGTCAGTAGATATTTACTTTCATTTTCTATGCCAAATTTAATGTATGGCAGAAGAAATGCTTGGACAGGTTTAATTGAATTTGTTCAGGTAAATTTAACTTTGCATAGTTTTTTTGTTTTTTTTGTTCCTATGTTACAAACATCTAGTCTTTGAAAGCATTGTTTGCTTTCTGTATGTAATCACTTAAAATTCTGGCAATGTTTACGGATCATCTCTCCTGAAAGTAGAGTTGTTCTGCTAGTCCTAAAGGTTTTTAACATATCGTGAGCTTTCATTTCAGTATTCCGAGGTTACGCGAACACAATGAAAGTGACGTCGCACAGTGACTTTAGGAAAAAACATGACGTAGATGTAGATTCTTTTTTTTTTTTTTTGTGAGGTGGGAAATGCATGTGAAAACTTTCCACTGCATATTGTATGTACCTGCGCCTCTGTGCGGCCAAAATAAACAAATAAAACATAGGAACGAAACAACCACGCTCAGTAATTGTTTAACTTAAACTATGAAAGCCGCTTTCTGACACTCTGATTTTTATATATGTACATCTAGACAGAAAGAAAGAAAGAAAGAAAGAAAGAAAGAAAGAAAGAAAGAAAGAAAGAAAGAAAGAAAGAAAGAAAGGAAGAACAGGATCCAAACCACTCAGAACCACGGCAGGATTCAAACTCCACTCGTTCATTTTTCGCTTACAGCGAAGCCGCCAAATTTACAAAAGTAAACTGACCAATAACATTTAGGCTTTATGCGTACCTCCAGGACTCCCACAGACTCGCTATGTAGATGTTTTAACGCAATATATCTTTTTTTTTTCTCCTAAATGTTGTTAATAGTAAAGAGGGTTAGATTAAAAATAGGCTATATGTAAAAATTATTCTTTTCTGTTTTACTTAAAGGAAAATCTCCAGGTACACAGTGCGTACAGCTGCGGGCCCCCTGTGCTCGAGCACAGGTCAAATTTAAGTGCTAGAGCCTTAAATTTGGTTTAATTTAAAGCTCTAGGTTTTCTCTGTACCTCTGTATGCATATAAACACAGAGATGTCAGTCACAGGTTGTCAGAGTTGTGTTCAGCCTGTGTAAATGTCTGGCGGGACCATCTGACGGGTATAAAAGATGTGGTTGATCAGTTAAATCAGGCATGTCCAAAATGGCCCGCAGCTTCGGTCTTATAATGTATTATGCATGGCCCGCCTGCACTGTCAAACAGACTAAATAAATCATAAAACTTGAAACTGTAATTTCTTCTTTCACCAAATGGTGGCAGGACCACTTTAATACCATCAGTCTCTGCATCCATGCCACAAACCCCTCTCTGCTCATTTCTGCCATGGTCACTGCAAAGAAAATGAGGAAAGTTGACAGTGAGGGCTGCCACTTTCAAGAGAGATGGGAATTACAATACTTCTTCACTGAAAATCAAGGCAATTGTGCTTGTCTAATTTGTAATGAGACAGTTGCCTTGTTTAAGGATTTCAACGTAAAGAGACACGACCAGACTCAACATGATAACAAGACGACAAGCTAACAGGACGAGACAGTGCTGAAAAAGTGAAGCAGCTCCAAGCTGCACAGGCATCACAAAAGTGATTCTTCAAGCGGGCCTGTGAGTCAAAAGAAAATACCACTAAAGCAAGCTACGAAGTGGCCATGTTAATAGCTAAACATGGCAAACCTTTTACTGAAAGTACATTTATCAAAGACTGTTATAAAAATGGTGGAGAACATTTGCCCTGAGAAGAAGCAAGAATTTGTGAAAGTTTGCCTGGCAAGTGACAGTGTGGTACAAAGAGTTGAGGACATATCGGATATTCAAAGACAACTGGGAGACAGGGGAGAGGCTTTTGATTATTTCTCATTGGCCTGCGATGAAAGCACAGATGCATGTGACACTGCACCGCTACTGATTTGTTTAAGAGGAGTTGACAACAATATGAACATAACAGGAGCTGCTGGACCTTCAAAGTATGAAAGACCAAACCAGAGGATCGGATTTATTCGTTTCTGTTTGTGAAGCTGTTCATGATATGAAACTACTACGGAGTAAAGTTTCTGGGATCATTACCGATGGTGCGCTTGCCATGGCTGGTGAGCAAAGTGGGTTGTCCACACTGATCTGCAATAAAGTCAGCGAAGAAGGAGGTAACGCCATTAAACTTCGTTGTATAATTCACCAGCGAGCTCTCTGCACCAAACATCTCAAATTTGATCATGTTATGAAATCAGTGGTAAAGACAATCAATTCTATGCACTCTAAAGCACTATACCACAGACAATTTCAGCAGTTGTTGTTTTACAACAGTGTGTATTTGCATAAAAATTTTGTAGTTCAAAAATGTCCGAACAAACTATTGCAAAAAGTTTAAATAGTATTGAGGGAAAAAAGAAGATTTTTCGTTTTTAAAAAAATACTGGGAATTTGAGGTATAGATATTAGGATCTACCGTAATAGATGGCAGTAGTGCAACAATAATGGATGCAAGCTGCTGTCAAAATCTAAAGAAAAAGAAGAAGTAGTCTCAGGGTTGTGTTAAAAGCGCAAAGAGCATCATGAAGACCAAGGAACACACCAGGCAGCTCCCAGATACTGTGGTGGAGAAGTTTGAAGCAGGATTTGGATACAAAAATATTTCCCAAGCTTTACATCTCAAGGAGCACTGAGCAAGCAATCATATTGAAATGAGCAAGCAATCATATTGAAATGGAAGGAGTATCAAACCACTGCAAATCTACCAAGACCTGGCCATCCCTCTAAACTTCCATCTGGAATAAGGAGAAAACTGATCAGAGATGCAGCCAAGAGGCCCATGATCACTCTGGATGAACAGTAGAGATCTACAGCTGAGGTGGAAGAGTCTGTCCACAGGACAGCTATCAGTCATACACTGCACAAATCTGGCCTTTATAGAAGAGTGGCAAGAAGAAAACCATTTCCCAAAGATATGCATAAAAAGTCTTGTTTAAAGTTTGCCACAAGCCACCTGAGAGACACACCAAACGTGTGGAAGAAGGTGCTAAAATCCAATGTTTTGGCCTCAATGAAAAACAATATGTTGGCATAATAGCAACAGAGCTCATAATCCTGAACACACCATCCCCACTTCCAAACTTGGCCGCAGTAGCATCATGGTTTGGGCCTGCTTTTCTTCCGCAGGGACAGGGAAGATGGATGGAGCCAAACACAGGACCATTCTGGAAGAAAACCTGGTGGAGTCTGCAGAAGACCTGAGATTTATCTTCTAGCAAGACAATGATCCCAAACATAAAGCAAAACCGTTTTGCTTTATGGAATGGTACACAAATAAAGGTATCCAGGTGTTAGAATGGCCAAGTCAAAGTCCAGACCTGAATCCAATGGTGAATCTGCAGAAAGAGCTGAAAACTGTTGTTCACAAGTCCTCTCCATCCAACCTCACTGAGCTCCAGCTGTTTTCCAAGGAAGAATGGGCAAACATTTCAGTCTCTTAATGTGCAAAACTGTATTAACTTAAGGGGCTGAATAATATTGCGCTCCCCACTTTGCAGCTTATTTGTTAGGAAAGTTTAAAATACTCAATAAATTTCATTCCACCTCATGATTGTTGTTGATTCTTCACAAATGAATAATAAAATAATTTTAGATCTTTTTGTTTGAAGCCCGAAAAACTGCAAAAGGTTGAAAAGTTAAAGGGGGCCGAATATTTTCGCAAGGCACTGTATATGTTATAAGTCTCAATGAGATAGTCATAAATCACATTTATTTGTATATCAAAAGGCAATTCAAAGCGCTTTACATCTTAAAATGCAAAAAATACAAAGTTACATAACACAGTAAACATTTGTAAAGTGCCAGATGTACATTATAATGTTGATTGTTTTACGTTTCAAAATCAACTCTAAACGGGTCGATTTCTAGTCTAGATTTAAAGGAAGTCAGTGTTTCAGCTGTTTTACAATTTTCTGGAAGGTTGCTCCAGATTTGTGGTGCATAGAAGCTGAATGCTCATTCTTCATGTTTGGACCAGAACCAGAATACCTGGAAGGTTGATAAAACAGATCTTTAATGTATTGTGGTGCTAAGCTTTTCAGTGATTTATACAACAGTATGTTAAAGTCTATTCTCTGAGCTACAGAGAGCCAGTGGAGCCACCAAGTTCTAGGACCCTAGAACTGGGTCCTAGGGTCCTAGGGGCCTGCACTGAGGTGCTGCACTGAAGTCCAACAGAACCAGCACTGTGGTTCTTCTAATGTGTATTTAAATAGATGTCAATTAACACTTTGACGAGGGCACTCTCAGTATTGTGGTGAGCACAGAAACCAGACTAAAATTCAGAGGTTGGTTAGTTAGGAAGCTATTTAACCGTTGAAACACATATTTCAATAATTTTGCTGATAAATTGGAGGTTGGAAATCGGCTTGTTATCTGCATTTGTGATTTGCCCAAATTCGTCATGGTTTAAGGTATGCATTTTTTCCCTACATGCAGATCACTTTTATGAGGCAGTTGAAAAAGGTCAATAAACCTTATTGAGCAACCAATGTGTCTTTGTCCGGGAGACAGGTGAAGAGGTGGAATTGGGTTTCAGAGTAGATGGACAGTGAGTAATAGAGGTACTGATGATGACTGAATGTTGTTCTTACTGGAGATGAAGATGATGAGTCTGCTGGGGGAATGGGATGAACTCCAGGGGTTGAGTCCTGGTGTGGGAGTTTTGATCCACCATAGTGGAACGGGGGGATCCATGGATTCATAGATCCATGGAGCAATTTGCTGGATAGCAATGGTGTTGTTACACAGCACTGACTTGGATGGAAAGGAGCAAGTTGTTGCCAGTCCTTGGGAGTTGAACCAGAGATCTTCACCGAGATCTCTGGTTCAAGGAGAAATCAAGGTAGCACAGGAATCCTGCTGAAAGAACCTTTAAAAGAGATCATAACAGTGAGTCACAAAAAC